AAGGTTTGCGATATCTCCGTGACCCTTTTGTTACCAAAGTTCAGTGTTTTGGCGCTTGAACGCTATCTATCTCAATGCCTTTTTTCAAATTTTGTTCCTCTTAACTGAAAATTTCAGTGATTTTCTCGGTATCTGTGTGCGTTTGTTGACCATGTCAAGGGTGGCCGACCGATTTCCGAATGTTCTGCTGTTTATTAAGTCCCTTTTGGATGACAAGTATTATGGAACATTATATATCATTCACGATGCGGAGCTAGTTCCATTGCTCACTGAATTGAAGTCGCTAGCAGATCACGAAAATGGCGTCAGTTCTTTTACGCAACTATATTGTTTTTCTCTTTCTTTCTTGCCTTTCAAGTCCTGGGCAACCAAATTAGTCGAATTCTGAATGGATTCTGGAACTTCCACTGATTGCGAGTTCTTTCCTACTTTTTGCAGAAAGAGCAGAAGCCATGTGAGAATTTCGCGAACTTCGAAGAGGGTGTTTGTGAGATCGATGAGAAATTTCCAAGCGCATCGGAGATACGACTAACGATTCTCTATCGTCTTCGTGTACTCAACCTTCTTGACGAATTGCGCGGCTGTTCTGGAACGTAAGTGATGTGCTCTTCTTGCAGCACTATACAATATGATGTGATAAGTTGGCGCCGCACGCATTGCGCGCACAACACAGATCTGCGGCGAATTTTGATGGTGCGACGAAAATTTTCAAATTTGGCTTGATACACCACGAATATCTGAATCTCAGCTAAATTCTATCCGCTCCATCATCGACGGCTTTCAACCTCTTTTTCTTCGTCAACCATTATCCTCTTTTTCCCGGTCTCCGGACTGCTTCCGGACAATAAATCTCGTGGCAAACTCCGCCTACTTCGGTGCGTGCCCCGCCCACCAATAGCATTTGGCCCCCTTCCTTTCGCCGACCTCTACCCCCTTTTTCACCGGTCTCTGGGACCTCTTGGAACCAAATTACGACACTTTTGGCAAACTCCGCCCACTTAGGTGCGTGCTCTACCCACTAATAGCAGTTGACCTCCTTTCCTTCGCCAACCTCTACTCCCTTTTTCCCAGCCTCCTGGACTTCTTGGAGCCGAGTTATGAATTTTCGTCGCAAACTCCGCCCACTTTGGTCAAGCCCCGCCCACCATGACAGCTGGCCTCCACTCCTCCACCCACCTCCATCCACCTTTTCCCGGCCTCCGGGACTTCTTGGAGCCGAGTTATGAATTTTCGTCGCAAACTCCGCCCACTTTGGTCAAGCCCCGCCCACCATGACAGCTGGCCTCCACTCCTCCATACTCTCTCGGTTGTAGAATTAGTTCTAGTAAATAAAAGATAATTGATCTAACAATAGAAAACTCATTTCCTAAATTACGCGCTGTTCGGTAAAACGTGGAAATAACGAGGAGTATGTAAATGCCCAGAAAGTGTAGCCTGATTTCGAAAATTTCTCACTAGTCTTCTTGGTGTCTTTCATTTTATTAATCGAACGGCAATGTTCTTGAGAGAGGCAGAGTTCCACTACAAGAATATTTTCGTACAGCACAATTTAGAGCATGTAGAAATGCGATTCATATCCAAGCAAAAATTTCATAGAAATTCGGTATATTGTTGCGTAACGTAAACGTCCACCTTAAATTTTGTCGAAGATTGAATGTTGAAGACATATCTTTATTTTCGTTATGATTTATTGATGTTTCATTATACTTACAAGGAAATCAGTATTTTTTCTAAGCCTTGAGTATTTTCAAATGTACTTGATATTCGTCGTTCAGGCTCATAGCCATCTTCGTTCCTCCTCATCGTTTGTATTCTCACTTCACCTGCTGGCAATTGTAGTCGCAGAGGTAGATGACCCGCGATTCTGGATACGAAATGCAAAACCATTTTCTCGACTTGTATCCGCGAAAGGCGGAATCACTTCTGGGTACGTGTGCCTTCTGTCTATCTTCCCCAAGTATTTATTTTATTTATTTATTTTTTGAATAATATTAACTCGCTTGTATTTGCTTTCTGGTTTATCATTTTGATCGAACCAATTACAGAATGCACAAGAAGCTGTATGAGTACCTGACTCCGTTCACGGAACCGTCGCTTCAAAATTTAGGGACACCTGGCTCAGATGTTATTAGCCCCCTTATCAAGGAGTGAGTTATTTTTCTCATTTTCTTTTTCGGGATCCAGTATTTTTTGTTTTTTGCTATACTCCCTGTTGTTTTTATCCTATGCCCTTTTATTAGAACAACGGATTACTACGACTCTTATTTCCAGGATGAAATCTGCATTCGAACGCCGAATGGAGCTTACACCGGCTCTCAGCACGAGCGTTCGCGTATTGGAGGCTGTGGTGAGCCTTTCTCAGGAATGATCTTTATTTTCTTAGAAGGAAGTAAATTTTGATTCGAAATTGTAATCATCTCGCTTTAGTTGTTGAATGCGACCAAAACATCTCGTTTGGAACAATTTCACATGATGGAACAGGATGGATCATTAGACTCTTTGGCACAGTGGCTTTTCGTATGTTTCAAATTCTCCTTCCTTCATGTGAGACGTATTCCTACTTCTCTTAAGAGGCTGAACTATTTCTTAGGAACTTGTTCAAATTCGTCATGCAATGTGGCAGATGGGTGAACCGGCGTCAAGTGAGGCAGCAAAACTTTTTCATGTTTTTGCTTTCCCTGTTTTGCGCATATTTGCTTCATACATCAGGACCTGCAATGAACTTGTCGGGAGTGTGGTCAAAGTGGGTGTCGTTAGTTCAGGATATTTTTCCCATTTGCTACTCTCTTGATGTTTCTTCTTTCTTATTTTTATTTATTATTGAATGGACATGTTGTAACATCATATGAACATCTTCTCATATTTGATCTCTCAAAACGAATACCATGTATTCTTTCACCAGCGAAGTTTTTGAAGGGTGCAACAATCCGCGAACCCGAAGACGCCAATCTCACTCGTCTAAACCAGCGTACCATAGAGGTAATGTCAAGTTTTTCTTATTTTGTTTCAGGGATTTGTTAATGGGAATTTATTCCGATCGGCATGTTCCTATAAGAGCTTATTCTACTGTTTCTCCAAGACACGTACAGCAGAAGACTTTGAGCTTTTCTTTGCGAGGACTTGCTTGCTCTCACCGTATTATGTTTTTAAGTAGAAACCACGTCAAACTTCAAAATCATTTGCAATGTACCTAGCGTGCACCTTAACCTGTTGCAACCGTGTAATTGCTAGCGTACAACTGATGTCCAGGGGGAGCCAAAACCAAACCGAATGAGCCCAATGGTGAATTTAAGGACTTATTCTAACCTATCAAATCCTACACAAATTCCTCCACACCGACGACATCAAAAAATTTCCCACGGAAACATGGTGCACGGTACGAGCTCAACGAGGTCGTCGAGAAACCATAGACCATTACGACGTCTCTGAAACGCTGGTCAAAAGCGGTCTTGCATAGTCACAGCTAGTCTCTAGAAGCTATTCACCAGTTAACCGATTGAAGAAATTATGTAGCAGCTTCAGGCTGGAGCGATTACGGTAAGCCTCGTTGAGCTCGACGGTGACGGCAGATGACGTCATATTCTGAAGACGGTGGGGCAGTGAAGGAGGGCCTGCTTCTGTTATGGGGGACATCTAAGGAATATTCTGCCGTAAAACTTTCATCAACAACGGCCCCTGTGCGACGAAAAATTTGATGATGTGCGTCATGTTCAAAGTGGCTTTTTTTGCCCACCTCCTCTCTCCACCCTGCTTGTTTTGCATAGGCATGTGTCTGTAAGAACGCCAAGACGCTCACCCATATTTGCGATCACTATTTCTAATGCCCGCAAGTTTCTAGAAGAATATTCAGTATTACAGTTGCGGACGCTCAGTGACGTGATGATGGACACTCTTTTCCTATTGTGGAGTTCGGCTGGTGGAATGAATGGGCAAAAATTTAGTCCTGAATGTCAGAAAATTCGCCTGGCTGTTCTAGATGTTCTCACTCCTACTTTGTTTTATGAGGTTTGTTTGTTTTGGCTTATTTTTGTGCTTTCTTTTTGGTTCACTGGGAGTTATTCGGTAAGGAATTCTATACTTAATTCCATGTAGGGTAGGACGTCTGTCTAAGTTCAAAATTTGTTTCCATTTAAAAGTTGAATTTATTTTGTAGAAATCCTTGGCGTCAGTCATCCATCACATATTGTTCCGAAGTTGTTCTCGTCCTCATTTATTCGCTGCTGGCCTCAGTCTGTTGATGAATCTGGCTCCTTGGGCTCCACCGTTGGCGATTTCAAAAAGCGAAGTGGTATGTGTAAGGTATTTTCTGTTCACAATCGTTCCACGAACTACCTTATCGAGGTTACCAATTATGTTTTCAGCGTTCGTGGAAGGATGTGGTTATTGGACATCGTCAGCGCGTGAATAGATTCGTTCATGCTTTTTTCTCGTGTGAAAATAGATACGACTTTGCCGAGGTTTTTCAAGCATATTTCATTCATTTTTCTATCTTATTCAAACCACTGCGCTTAACTTTTTTCACTCGAAAATCTGATGAGTGAATTTTGAAGATTCTGCTGTCATCTTCTCCGTACATTTCTGAATTGTCGTTGAAGTTCATCGATCGGATGTGTCGCCTTGATAGAAGACTCGCTCAAGATCTGGCAGGGTCCGTTGCAAAACTACATTCGAGGCGATTTCAATTTTACATAAAATGGCTTTTGAGTTCTTTGTCGTGATCGTTTGAATTGTTTTCTTGCTTCATAATGCATTTTTGAGCTGCCATGTACCAT